TCACCAGACGTTACCGGTCGAAACGACGGGACAGAACGGGACGAGACGGGACACGGCAAAACCGGACCAGACAGAACGAGATCACACCAGACTGAACGGAGCGTAATGCTCTCGGATAGGCAGGATGGAACCAGACAGATTTAAATCTAGCTTCCAGGGAGAGATGCTACCTAAGCATCTAAACACAGCTCCAAAATAAACGTTTCAATTCGCTTGTAACACCACCTTGGCTCTCGCCGGTCGCCCGGCGGCGCGCGGCTCCGGCATCTCCGACGCTTTAAGGTTCGGAGAGAAAGAAATCCGAGCTGCGTAGGGCAGCCGCAGGACAGTGGACGGTGTCTGTTGTACGACTGTAGCGGCAGTGAATCAGCGTGTGAATCAGGAAAACCCCAAAACCCCATACTGTGAGGGGCCGCTCCAGACATTGCACTATGGTGCTTGATATGAGCGAGGAAGGCCTCTGGCCTCTGGTTATCCGGCCTCTCGTTATCCGGCCTCTGGTTATCCGGCCTCTGGTTATCCGGTCTCTGGTTATTCGGCCAGGGACGTAATTTTGCAAACTAGGTAGCGAGAGAGAATGGGGGGGGGGGGGGGGGAGAGCAGATGAAAATGACGCAACCTTCCTTTAAAAACGCTAATAAATGGACTTCTCTTCAGATTCGACAAACTTTGTCTGCAAAGTTAGAGAAGGGGAGTGGGGCTCCAGCCCCCCACCCAACTTGAAACATTATGAGTACACAGGTTTCTATACCGAGTTATCGATCTACAGTATGTCATATACTGCGGTATCGGTTAAAGAAAGCTGTAGATCAAATATTCATTACATTTTTAGCACTCGACACTTCAAGCTGTGCTTATGGTACGGAATATGTTATCATAAGCACCTAGCAATACTTCGCAATGTCGGTTTTTATCCCTCTTTTCTAATTGTCTTTGTTTTGTGTTGTATATTTTGACTAATTCCCGTCACTTTCAACACCTATTAATTTAAAGTCTTTGGAATTTTTAATTCTGTTTATTTCCGGCTTTACTTTTGTCCCTGGCGACTTGCTGCCCCTTGAACTTTTCCGACCCCACTTTTATCCTTGTTCACTTTTATCCCTTTTGAATTTGTGTCCCTCCACTCTTTCCGGTTCGGTCTTCATCCCAGCCGACCTTGATCGCTCGATTTTTTCGTTCGGCTTTTTTCATTCGACGTTTGTCCGGACACCATTGCACCAAACCTAAAGGAGGCTTTTAACTAACCATTGACGCTTTTCACCAGCCTAGGACCACCAGGAATGCTATCACACAGCTTGGTGTTCAAGTAAGGCACACACCCATCAATCTCTCACGAAACCTGCATTGCCAAGCTCTACAATAGCGACCGAAATGACAGGCAAGGCCGAGGGAGCGAGGGACTTCATCACAGTAATCTCGCTCTGACATGCCCCCTTAGTTCAAACAGATCCAATAGTCTGTCGACGAGAGTTACACCGTGACTGTGAGCAAAAGGCAAGGCCGGTCCCTAAAGGTGACGAGTCTCGACTTGACTGAACCAGAATTTTCAGCTTTACGTCGGAAGCTCCAGACTAAGTAGCCGACCTGGCCACTCCGTCGCAGGTAGGCAACACCGAGAAGGTACTGCACAGGGAAGAACGGTAACCGAAAGATGGACTGGCATAGGAATTCAGCGGCAGCAGGAATGCAATGCGCAGCGGTCTCTAGCCCACACTTGCTACACCTATTGTTTCGGATATCTCTAGCCTGCCATCGCCATACCTATTGTCTCGGATATCTCTAGCCTGCCCATCGCCATACCTATTGTCTTCGTATATCTCTAGTTTGCCCATCGTCATACCTATTGTCTCGGATATCTCTAGCCTGCCCATCGCCATACCTATTGTCTTCGTATATCTCTAGTTTGCCCATCGTCATACCTATTGTCTCGGATATCCCTAGTCTGCCCGTCGCCATACCTATTGTCTCGGATATCCCTAGTCTGCCCATCGCCATACCTATTGTCTCGGATATCCCTAGTCTGCCCATCGCCATACCTATTGTCTCGGATATCCCTAGTCTGCCCATCGCCAGACCTATTTTCTCGGATATCCCTAGCCTGCACTTGTCATACCTATTTTCTCGTAGATCTCTAGCCTGCCAATCGTTATACCCATTGCCTCGAGTTACTTGCTTTGCTCCAGCAAATGGTTTATCGCCGGTAACTCGGCTGATTGTGTTACAGTACTAAATGCAAGCATAAACAGAAACACCCACGAGATAGGTCGGATCAACTTTCGCCCATAAAATCAAATCCAACTATCGCGAATAGCTTTTCGTTGTGCTGGACAATTCTTTATTACAGAGACATCGCCGGGCATCCCAGCTAGTATCTTACTATCTAATCGCAACGTTCTAAACAAGCTCCGCGAATTTCTCAACAGCACGCCTGTGGCACTTGGGAACAGGAAAGAATGCAGACCATTTAAGTGCTTGGCACCGTTTCCGATCAGAATTTAACGTCAGGTAAAATCTCGAGTTCATCATGAAGACAATCGATCGTCGTTCCTGAAGTGACTTCAGCCAGAGACGCGGGGTAAAGTTCCAAATGAACTGCTGTTCCCATTGGTTTGGAATCCACATTTAATTGGTCGGACGAGCAGAAATTGCATGCTATCTTCGGCGCATTAAATCGAATGCCTTTTACCCGAATGAACGACTCGACGCTGGACAAATGTCGCCTTACTGTAGAGGACATCTGCACCGATTTATCTGATTAAACCAGGGAGAGGCCTTTTTAGAAGTGGTTCACGACCGTATGTCACGAAAATCACGTTCAATGCCCACATGGCGCATGTTCTCAAATCCCTTCAAAACTAAATCGCTGGTGTGCAGACGTCAGGGAAGTCTGTCGTCCGAGCCAGAATATGAACTGCGCTGCGAGCGGGTTCAGCTTGTGCGAGAACCGGGCACAATCACACACTCGCACAGACGCATGACGCGCGGCCACGGTCTGTGAACAGCAACAGGCGGGGCGTGACATGGCAAGATGCCCGAGGAGGAGTAGACATCAGGAGGAGTAGACATCAGGAGGAGTAGACATCAGGAGGAGTAGACATCACAGGGCTCCAGACCGAAGTCACCAGCTATGATTATCGAATCTGCATTTTAAAACCTAACTCTGATCTATCCGTAGCAATCCTCAGCATTATTTCATCAGCTTTCCTCTTCCCACGTGGAGGTGTGCGTTGCTGACTCCATGTCATGGATCTTCCAGCAGGATCGGTAGTTTTTCCCGCTCAGGAATCCCCAAGTTTGAGCGTGGATTGGTTTGGAGCAGGTGAATCCAATGTTTGCAGGCTGCTGCTACTATTTGTGGCCACATTTTTAAGCGGACTCAGGAAGCAGTGTGTAAACACCGATTTCAAAGACTTCCATTAGCCTGTTGCTGACAGATGAAATGAGCTACGGGGACGGTACTAACACGCCCGCTTCATTTGTGCGTCGTCAAACACCGGTCATATAGATGTGCCCTCTTTCCTGGAGGCCCGTTCATTTCCGAACGGTTGGCGAAAAGAAGGAGTAACAAGGATCGCAATAAACAGACAGCAACAAAGCTAGAAGCAAGAATAATTAAATATACTATCTTGCTTTGAGCCGTAACAAACTCGAAAGGCGAGCAGCGTACCTGACTGCATGTCATAAAGCATTAAAACGGCATAGTGAATACGAACTAAATCTGTTACACAGCTTTACGCGCTGGATTGCAGTGTTTCAAAGCACAATTATTGAAACACTTGTAGGGAGTATCCCATCTTTTTGTACTTTTCACGTACTGTTACATCAGGTGCATACGATGTGATTAGTAATACCAGTTTACTTCCAATCCCTCTGAATGCTTCAGAACTTCAATTTGAAGTAGCCGACCATGCGAGATAAATCTCATTCGCCTCCCTGCTCACCATTATGAAGGTAATACATTCGATTTGCTTTGCTATTTCCCACTCGTGTGTTCTGTAATTTTTGCAACGCACTAATGTGTGAAAATATTTGTGGATAACTGCTACGAAAGCTTAAAACACCCGGTTTAAATAAACACATCTGCGAACGTGAAGTTTTATCCCTCGACATCAGCGAAAACTTATACCATGACTTTTATTTCTCTCTTATGGCATTTAACGCAGTGGCTCTTTTAGAGGCGAACTTTGGCTTTGGGAACGGGAGCATCACATGATCCATGTGTGGTACTGGTTCAAAATTCAACCAATGCACGTGTGGGTAGCAGGTTTTTGTTAGCTGGGCCGATCATAAACTTTCTTTCATTCGCGCCAGTAGAGGTGCACACTGGGGTTGTTATGACGACGTGGTCGCGACTACAGGGTAGAAGCGTAGTACTGTTACAAAGCGTTGACAGCGTAATTGGGATTCGAAAATAATTAAAATGCGTTCCTTATTGAGTTTTGCGGTACCGCAGTGACACTACTTGGTGTCATCTTAAGACGTAGCTAGTCCTGAGGTTTCACCGAAGTATACTTTTGAAATATGCCCCAAAAGATGGGACACTCTCCTTAAGGTGCTTGAGAAGTGAATGCGGTTTATTGGACACGCTGAGAAGCTATAAC